CATCCAAATGAAAGTGTTAAATACGGAAGGCTCTTTGAATCCACCGTACCTCTCTATCAAGAGTCCTGCGGACAGAGACTTTTCCCGAGCTACTTTCAACTGCAAAGTACTCATCGTTGGGCTTAGTCAGTGAAAAGGTCAATGGGTCGTTTTCTGCGTCTGTTGCTTTTATAGTAAACACGGAGGCACCTATAAAAAAACATTAGTACAACATAAATATATATGCAGTATTTGTTGATGTGAAACACAAACGGTTTTCAAACACACGATTCCTCCACACACATTTATACTTTACCTATTGGAGTGTCTTCACACACATTATAAACAACACCGTCGATTGAAGGACTGTTATTTGCTGTGGGAAACATATGGTATAAGTTAAATGTCACATAGTGAAGACATTGTGCCAAAATTGCATTAAAATGACCTAAATACTCACCTTTACTTAAGCCGATAAGGCACAACACTAACATAGTTCCTTTGATCCCCTCCATGTCTGAAAACAAAGAATACGCAATCTGACAAGTAGAACTGATACAATTAGTCAGTTGAACTGTTGAACAAACTGTTTAGTTTAATAAATTAGATATACTATGTTAATACGTGATACTTATTAATAGTTTTTGCGTCTCATTATTTCGGTCTAACCCAAATATATAGACTGGCCTTCTGACCGTCAGATCTACATCGTCATCCATAGAGCCATGTTGCTAAAGATGATGAACAACTTAGCTTTCAACTTCTCAAATGTTAAGGCTTCTCTTTCTCTCTTTTCAGATCTAGGTTTTTAATTGTTTTTTTATATATTTTGTGAATTCCATTTTTCCTTATAAAGCAAAACAAAGATTATTGTGATGTAACGTTCAAAATTCAGGCATTTAATTCCTTCCGTGCCTCACTTATGGGTTGAAATTTAACAGCATATTGTATATGGCCGCACCCAGATTAGCAGTATCATAGCATGTGTTTTTACCACCTGTCGTGACATCACGACAACTAGTGTCTCACGACACAACCATTGAATTTAAAATAACTAGCACTAGGGATCAAAACCCCAAATCAAAAGCAATCACATCGAATTGAAAATAACCTTCAAGAGAGAACAAGAAGGAGTAGTTTGTCTCAGATTACCGTTTGCTTACATTAACTTTTACCTAAAGGGTTTGCCACAACTTCCACTAATTCTATTTTGTTCAAGACCTAGACAGAATTGATCTGAATTTTTAATTGAGTTTGGATGTTCACGTAATCAGTAATATATATGAGAATAAGCTGATTGTTAATGTTACCAGTGGATGAATCCCTTTGCTGCCTCCATACTTCTGACAACTGTTTGATGTCTATTTGTATCGAGTATATGCTGTAAATTGCCAACACAGTTACAGAGTACAGTACAACACCGTTTGCTATGTCAGATTGAAAAGAGCAAAACCTTTGACAAGGCTATATGCTGACTAAAAACACCACTCTAACACTTTAAAAAGTCATTTTGAAACACAGCAATCAGACTTACCAGCCGACATTCAGAGGAGGTTCTCCTTAATGTCAAGATGAGACCTTTGGCTCCTGTGCCTCGTTGTGAATATTGCCTGATGGTTGTAAATATAAATGATTAACACCAGCACGAAATGCACAGCCAATAACACAGCAGTAAACCTTGTGTTTCTTGAAAAACGCCCAGAAGCATCGCACTGAAGAGATGTTAAACAGAAATATCTCCCTTCCGTTTGCTCCGACTACATTATGGATGTTTAAGCCGGGGTAGTAATGAGGGACAGAAGCGGGCAAACTTCTCTCACCATCATAGGACAGTCGGCCTTGTCACCATGCAGTACATGGCGGCAAGCCATTCTGGGTCATCCGAACCCTGTTCCTCTTTTGAATGGGTGATTTCGTTGTCATGGCAACGGCAGCAATCTCTTCGCTTTCCATTACGGAAACAAGGGAGCCTTTCTCAAACATGAATCATCAGAACCAATCAGTGGACCAGTGTTTTTTTTCAGAAAGCAGAGATCCATGTACCTCCCTAATGAGTTCTGCCCAGTAAGTCCCCTCCCCCCTAATTAAAGGCTGTTACACAAATGACTGCCTTCTCCTTACACACTGCATTTATTCATTATCAGACTTTTGCCTCATAATAAAAACACTGCACCACTCCTCTTTCCTCGAGGTAAAATGGAGTCTTGAGAACACACTTCTGTTCTAATGGATACTGATTGTAAAATATTCAGCTGCCATACTAACTGCTCAAAAGAGTGAATTACCTTTTTAGAAGGGAGGCAGACATGGGAGACTCAGAACGTATAGTTTTTTTTAGCTTAAGGCTAATGCCGGCATGCTCAGAGTGACAATTGCAATGCTAACACGCAGATTCTGTGCATATAGCTCACCATTTTCACCTTCTGACTTTAATGTGCTAGCACTAAAGTGGCACCAAACACACAGTACAGCTGATGCTGACGGAAATGCTTCATATACTACGATATTAGGGTCAAGAACCATAGACTGGACCAAAGACTGCCGGAGGTAATGTCAGGTAAGGATTTTCAAAGTTGTTACTTTAATAGAATATGTCCCGTTTTACAAAGATGGGTGCGCAATGTTATCATTCACATAGAAGCAACATTAATATTGGTATTGAAGACAGATATTGCGGAAATCTGATCCACATTGTAAAGTAATTAGACTTTGGTTTATGATTTACAGTACTGACCACAGCCCAGCCACTCCTGTACTAGTAATTAGGTTATATAGATGGCCATCTAAAGCAATTTCAGTAAACAGCAACATTCAAATATATATATTACTTTGAGCCAGTTGCAGTCAGGGAGTTGTCTTTCCATGTAGACAAGATAATAAACTATTACAGATAAGTAATGACGCACACTGACTCTCTGGCTTTCTTGGGGATACTTCAGAGTAAATAATATTAAATGAAAATAATACTTTTATATATATGTATATATAATGATATGTTTGTTATTATTATTTTAAGTGTTTTTTTTGTGTTGATGCCAAAATTTGATAAATGACTGATTACACAAACATAAATAATTAAGTGATAGTCTAGTGCACTGCTTTAAGATCTATAGCATGAGTTAAAATCAGTGTTCAGTCAATTATTGGGGAGAGATAGTCACTGATGGCTATATGTCTTTTACCAGATTTGAAAAATAAAGCAATTAATGTTTTAAAATATTAATAATTAATAAATATGGACATAAACCTTCTTGTGTCTCAAATCAATTGAAGCTTCATTGACATTAATGAGAAGCACATGAAAATCAACTTGGTAATGTTAGTTTTGAAATACTTTACTGTAGAATCCTCCAACAGGTTGTTAGCCCATGCAGCTACAGTTGTTTTATATAAGACTGCACCAACGCACTATATGATCAAGATAATATGATGCATTGCATCCTCCAAAAAAAGTAGGTAAACTCCACCATCGACACTGTAATGCGGTTTATAATCGATTACTCAATAATAACACGATTACATAATCACACTCAGGAAAGGGCCATTCTGTATAATGACTACTTTTACTTCTAATACTTTCCTATTGTCAATTTCTATTTTAAAAAGCCCTCTTGCCCATTGGCGTCTGAAACATGATGAAGTCACCTCTTCATACCCTTTAACTTTCTGCACTGGAACATAAGATATTCTTTTTGTTCTTGCCCCTAAGGCAGCCTGAGTCATATGTTTTAATCCATGTCCTCTACGTTTAACTGTGGTCATACTAATTTTACCAAAGTAATGGGTCAGGATTCTATTCGTTCATAGTTTTCCTCCGTTTCGTTTCCAGAATACAGGCAACGCTTTGAGCCGCCGTGATGTCTCGAGACAAACGGGTGCCACTTGTTTCTGTCCATTACGGTATAAATGGCCGCGTTGCGCATGCTCTCCGCTCATGAAATAAGCAGAAATGGGGGTGCAACAGGGAATCGTAGAAACTCCAAGCAACCGTCTGACTCGAATAACGTTTCCAAAATCAAAAAGTGGCGATTAAGGAAATAGTATCTAAGATCACGAAACCACAAACTCGCACAACATTCAGACAAAATGCATTCACAACGGGAGTCTAATATCGGACACCTTTTTTTGCTACAGCGGTGGTGAAATCCACGGAATGTTCCATACGGGAACAGCTGACCGTGGGATGCCGCACTTAGCCTAACGACATGTGAACATTACAAGGAAAATAGCAGTGATTGGATGTTTGCACTTTATTAATCAGGTAACTACATTGGTCCTCCCGTTATCGCCTTGTCTCGGTTGCATTTTGCAGATTCACAGGGCGAGTTTCCGGGAGCTGGTTAGATGGGCTGTCATCCTGCTGAAGCTTCAGCCCCTCCTTGTTTTGCTGCTACCGAGTGCGATGTGGTAATGTTTACATTGAGTCCATTTAGCTTACAACTGTCGGTATCCTCAGACAGCTCTTTGTTAGGTGTGTTCTTTGGGATGCATTTATGGATTTTGCACTGGACGGTTCACAAACCGACAAATACATTATTCATTAACACTTACTGGAGAAAATGGGCCTGATAGGTAGCTTATGCAGCCTTATGAAGCTTGGTATTCCTCCACTGAGGCAAGGCATAAAGTATTTTGCAGCTCCATTCGGTGGCCTAATAAACATATAGCTTAGAGATGTTGTGCAGTAGCTGATGAAAGGTTTTTCTCACTTGATCATGCAATTGCAATGTTACATAATTGGCCTCCAGTGACAGTCAAATCAGTGAGCCACAGTCAATTTTTAGAGCAAAGGACAAAAGACACACTTATGTTTTCAGTGGTCTAAAGCCAATTAGTTCGAATGGTTTTTTTTGGTCTAAATTGCTAAATTGATCACTTCTGTTTTTGTTTTTGAAGTGAGACAGGTTGCCACAAGGGAGATGCTTAAATTGAGAAATCCCCAAAAACTTTTCAGGTCAGTAATGGTCAAATCGTTAAATATTACGTTCCTTATTTGCAAAGAGTTCAACGTCTGGACAACTTTCCTTTTATTTTAAGTAGCTCACTATAAAAATATTATGTGTAATAGTGTAACACCACTCGCTTAAAAAAGTACTTGTGCAGCATGGCCCAGTCATTTTTGTCAAATATTACTGGATAATTATTTCTATTGCATGTACGCCTTTTAATGTATAGGGAGAGAAGCTTCCATTTCTATTTCTTAGGTACTGTTTCATATTCTAATCTATAACAAAATATGAATGCATCAAATACAGACAAAGTATAAGCACCTCAACATGATGGTCGATTTACAACCCCGGGTGACAGTTAGGCGTGTTTTACATTGCACATTAATGCGCATGTGCTATAGGTGGCGAATCTGAAACTCTGAAATCTCTCAGAGGGCTTTTTGTTTGGACGCTACAAGTAAAAACAGAACGGCCTGTTTTGATACATTGTAGCTCAGACCGTCTGGACGGCGACTGTCTGTGTTTGCTGCGCTCCGATTGGTCGGTCACAGCAGGAGGCGTGGCCTCGTCATAACAATACATTCAAGCAGCACACGCGCGCCAAGGAATGTTTACTGTGGTTGTGTAGCAAACGTTTTTCTTTACCCACGTTTAAAGCTGTTTCCTGCTCAGGTGGACGCTGCGTTTATTTGACGGACCAGTCTTTTTTGTCTGGGGGAAACGGATCCCCTATGCGGCAAAGGGAATCGTGTTTAGTTAGCTGACAGGCGTTAGCAAGCTAACAGCGGCTCCGTTCGTCATTGTCCGAATCTCCCGGGGTGACAACAGTCGATTTGACAGTCAGCTAACGGTTGTTTGCAACGGGTCATGGTGGCCAGTTAGGTTCGAGGACAACTTGATGGGACACGCCATTTCGGAGGCTGAAAACATCTCCCGTCTCCCCCTTCTTCCAGCGAGCAAACTAGCAAAGAAAAGTAAGCTGTGGTTTGTTTTTTTCACCAACTCTTATAGCCTGACATGACGCTCGTCCACACGACGCTGGTCTCCGGTATTCTACACGCGGTGATAACACAGCGCACGCCCTAAACGGGTATTAGCATTCGGGCTAAGTTAGCTTGCCAACGGCAGTTACCTGCAGCTGGCGGGTGTTGCTGTGTTGGGACAAAGCGTTAGCACAGCGTGGCTAAGGTTAGCCCTCCTTCCGCAGGGGACGTTCAATTATACTGGACAGTGAGGAACCGACTGTTGACACACTTATGCCCTTAGTCTGTTTCGCAGTGTTGCGTGCTGAGATAATATTACTATTAGTAATGAGCGGCACCGTGATCCTTCTGTTCTGTATGTTAAGCGAGGGTCCCGGGTGCCTTTCGGTTCTTTTGTTGTTGCTTTGTCTCGTGAGCACGTGGCTCTCCGTGTTGCGTTCAGGCATCTTATAGCGACCCCCGTTTATTCTGCCCCCGAACGCATCGCAATAATTACTCTGCCTGTACATGTAGTTCCACTATATTTTAGCATTTTGGTGAAACTCGATACAAGTTGTCTTTTTGTAATACCATAAGATTAAGAGTATAATTTTGGAATGTGTACTACTAACCCGCCCACTTGGAAAAAGTTCATTTAATTTTTTTTACAATCACCCAGCAGTCAAAGCAGGAGGCAAATGTCATCTCACGAGAGAGGAAATTGTGGAGAAAAAAAGATTCAGTAGCTTCAGTAAAATATTTAGTCGCAAATATTTTCTTGAATCATCCATACCTAATAATACATTCCTAATTTTAGGGGATTTACAGCACAGCTAATTTATAATCTGATGCTTTGTGATTAAACTTAATCTGTAAAGTAGAGTAGAGTTGTCGTCAATCTGGGTTCCAAGTGCCTTATGTGTCCTGTCTATATGAACCACTACTTTATTGGCACATAGGGCAATTCAGTTTGAGTGACCCATTTAATGCTGTTTGGCTGTGCGAAAGACTGTAAAAATCTGACATGACAGCCTGTAAATGCTTATTGTAAACAGTAAAATTAGCTACAGTTGGTATTTTTTTACTTCATGACTTTTCATGACCAAACATGTCATGATTCAAACTGATTTTGCCAATTGACTTTGTTTTTGCAGGGTTAAGACAATCAGGCAACATACGAGTGCCTCCACTGCACAGTTTCCATTCCCAGAGTGTGATTCGTCTGCACGACGTCACCAATGCGACCATGGGAAATAGCAGTAAATAGGCTGTCACCAACAGCCCCCCTAAATCCAAGGAGGTTCCTTGGAGAGCCCTGCCACGTCCCGGTGCAGTTCAGGAGAAGGTACAAACCATGCTGTCTTTCATTAAGACCCACTTTCTTACTAATTACATGTTGCTTACCTACATACCAAAATTTGCTCATTTATTTTTTGTAATTGTTGATTTGACATTATGTTTACAGAATATTGTATTGTTACATGTGACATGTTTAGCAGCCCCAAAACATAAATCTGATTTAAATGAGTGTGATGTCAACCAAGAACTTCACTTGCACAAGGCAGCAATCACCTGTTGCCACACACATTTACACACATGGGAAAAAGTAGCCGGGGCAGTAATACAGGCTGCCAGGTTTCCATCATTCGCCGTAAACATTCCGACGCACGCTCAAACACAGGACAGCCATAAGAAGCAACTTTGACAAACAACGACCTTCTGCGTCGTAGACCGTAGTTCTACCTTCTGAGGTTACCCCAATGCTTATTAACATTAGTATGAGATATTTGCAACTAGTTTAATTTAAACATGGAATGTATTGACCTGTCTGTCAATATTCACAGCCCACCAGTGAGACGCCAGTGGGGACGAGACAGGCCTGTACTGCACACTTCTCTGGTCCAGGATGAGAACTTCCATCATCTGCTTTTCTCACAGCATCACCAACAGGTTTCTTTAGATGAGTCCAGACATTACAGTCGCACCAGCACACCACCACGCATGCTTCACCCTGCTGCTCACTTTCCCCAGCAGAGCCCCATCATGGTGGATCTACACGACCAGGTAGGTGATTTGTTTTCTGACTTAACATTTTGCTCAGTAATATTTCTATGAAACATTCATACAAGATGTTGTGTAATTGTATACAATGAGTAATTTTTTGGCAGACACACTTTTGTATTAGGCAGATTGTGAGTCACCTCCTCCATCACCTCCCCCTACATTTTCTTTTTTTAAAGATGCACCAGGGATCCGTTCCAATATCTTACACTGTTACAACGGTGACGACCCACGGATTTCCCATCCACACCGGGCAGCCCCTTCCGGGGTGCAACACTCAGCAGCTCCCAGCATGCTCGGTAATGTTCAGCGGACAGCTCTCTCTGCTCTGCTGCCTTCCTCCTCCTGTGAGTTTGAAAAGGAAGAGCCCCAATGTCAGTGGCATCCATGCAGCACACCATAGCAGCCATACAACCAGTCACTATTCATGAGTAACAAATATCTGCTGCTGTCACTGTGCAGGATTTGTGGGTTAGTCTTATTATTTAAGCACAAGTATTAGAAACGGTTAAGCAAAATTAATTTCTGTTGTGTCTGCGGTTAATGTGTGGAAACCAACAGATTATTAGTTCGTAATACTTTCAGTGCTGTAGTTTCATGATATGCATTTATTCTGTTCACTACATGCTTACAACATTCTTTCATTATAATTGCCTTATTGCTCCTGTTGTGAAACATTTGCTTAGTTAGGTGGATGCTTTTTCACAGTGTAATTAACATCACCCAAATGAAGGGGGGAAAATAATTTCTTTTTAAAAACTGCTGTTTGCTCTTGTGTTTTTCTTCTTCTCTTTGCAGCTCATACAGGCATGTACCATGCAGCATATGCCAGTGTCTTATCAAGCCTTTCCACCCCTGATTTCCAGCGAACATTTTGTATTGCACCCTTCCCCATCCGTACCCCCCCACCAGCCACCGCACCTTACTCCATTGAGCCAATTTATCCCTTTACAGTCTCAGCACCCACGCATGGTGAGTAGCCCACAGCACACTCATGCTCATTAATTAAATCACAGCACCGTGGATGTGATTCGTTGATTTACATAGATCTGTTCGGTCTAACCGCAACCATTTTCTCCTCTCAGCCTCTACAGAGGGTAGACAATGAAGTTGACCTAAGGGGGGACCAGCACCCATTAGGGACTTTTTCCTACCCTCCTTCTCATCACCCACCAGCGCTGCCTCCTTCTCTGCCCCTACAGTATCTTCCTCAAGAGCCTCTGCATCAGGAGCTTCCCTTTGGCGTGGTGAGACGGCATACATTTGTTCTGGCAATCTACTTGGCTCCTTTTTGTTCCTGCTGAATAAATGCTGTCAAATGTCAGAATAACATTGACATGTTTCCCTTTATCTCTCTGTATCGCTCCTCAGCCATATCCCCACATGCTGCCCCGGCGAGTGAGTGGACGGAGATACCGGTTGCAGCAACCGTTACCCCCTCCTCCTCCTCCTCCTCCTCCACCTCCTCCTCCTCCATCTTACTACACAGGCTTCCTTCCTTACTTCCTGTAAGTACCTGCAGTACGATAAGTAGTGACGTTTTCAGGTACTGGCCTCAGCAATCATTTATTCTACTGCGCTTAATTTATATTGATAATATTTATCCTGGCTTGTGCATCTTTACTTTTCCAGCAGGATAGAAACAACCAATCAAATTTCCACCCCCTTTTTCTGATGTTTGCCGAGCATAAGCTGCTTCACTGCAAAGTTTCAGCGATCGTGTTAATGGTTTCTCTCTTTGCTAAGGTCAATGCTTCCTATGCCTCCAACATCTGTGGGCCCAGCCATCAGTCTAGACCTGGATGTGGATGATGTGGAGATGGAGAACTATGAGGTTAGTGTAGTATTCATTCTGGCCTCCAGTTTTTAGACAGAATTCCTATTTAGTTTAAGTCTAGTTTTAGTTAAGTTTATTTTAGACATCATTCTTTTTAGTAGTAGTGGTCTGTCTGCTGGTGCGAGCACCACGTACGCGCATACATGGGGAGAGGGGGGGGGGGGGGGTATTCACTAGCACAAAACATCATTAGCACCCCCCTTTCTCAGTCTCACGTGTGTGTGTGTGTGTGTGTGTGTGTGTGTGTGTGTGCGCGTGTGCGCAGGCGTTACTCAATCTGGCAGAGAGGCTGGGTGAAGCTAAACCACGTGGACTCACGAAAGCCGATATAGAACAACTTCCGTCCTACAGATTCAACTCAGAGAACCATCTGTCTGAACAAACGCTGTAAGCCTTTCTCTCACCTTTTGACTACATAAACGACTTCTTCATTTACTATTGATGCATTTCCAGTTAACTCAACCCTTTCCTCTCCTCCAGGTGTGTTGTGTGCTTTAGTGACTTTGAGTGTAGGCAGCTACTTCGGGTATTACCGTGTAACCATGAATTCCACACAAAGTGTGTGGATAAATGGTTAAAGGTAAGTTCATTCCAGTTTAGATAATGAACCCATTTCAAAGTCTTCTCATAGTTTTGTATGACTATTATGTTTTGAACTTTTGAAATGTTACATTTATGCTTTACTTTCAGACCAATCGCACTTGTCCTATCTGCCGAGCTGATGCCTCGGAAGTACACCGCGAGGTGGAGTGAGAACTGTCTCTGAGTGCCGAACAGGACCGCCGCACATACCGCTGTCTCTCCCGGAATTGGGGACACCCGCCGCCCAACCTGCGTCCACCAGTAAATATAGCTTACCAACCTACCGCTCCTGCCCCTTCCAAAACAATGAGCAACCCAGGGTGGTCTTCTGGAGCCTGTTGTACCTCTGCTGTGCTTCATTGTCCGAGTGTCATGAAACCCACTGCCTATCGCAGCCCATAGCCAGAGTTCTGGGATCGCCCGGCCAGTTCCTTCTCTGCCCCCTCGTTGCAGATTCCAAAGATTTCCCCTACAATGCATTATTTGCTGCTTTTGTTTACAGGGTTTCATTTTAATTTAGTGGAATTGGTTTTGGAGTTCATGAAAAGTGGAATCCTGCATTGGAAGCGGTGAGTCGGAGGATGATGATGATAGGCTGGACACCTTGTGCAATTAGCAGAAAATAATAGGAATACTCCAACATGGGTATCTGTGTTTGGAGGCAATGCCTGACCATCATAGATGCATGTTTGTGTAGATATTGGGCAAAGTGACTTGCTAATTATGTACTTTCTGCAATAATGTATTGATCATTTCTACAGTTTTACCCCTTAATTTGTTTTAGATTTGCAAATTCTATTGTGAAAGTGTGATTTTCTGTGGTTAAATGCAGATTCTGTTAAGCCTGATGTTTATGGCCTGCAAGTGATGGGACATTTCTTCTGCCCCCAATGATCCTCTCTGGAGCACCGATGTGTTTAAAAGCAGTCATGGATTAATGGACTGCATCGTTTTGAGGTCATCCGGCATAACTGCACAAGTGCTACATCAACCCTCCACGTCAGCATTGTTCCTCTGGCAAGTGTGTATGCGTGTGTACATATTGTGTGTGTGTATTGTTTGTCCTGTTGACAAAGCCAATGCATTGTGTAACCACTGGATACAGGGCAGCATGCTTGGATTTGCATGAACTGTTCATTCAGACTAGCAATATTTTAATCAAGCATTGCCACCAAAATTGTCAAATATTAGGAAAAATAAGCGGTAAAATAAGCATTGTAAAAACTGTCTGCTGATTGAGAAAACACAGAGGAGGAAGACTAGCTTGGGGTTCCAACTGCTTTTAAGGAGGAGAACTTTTGTCTGAATGCTGTGCTGATGCCATAAAGCTCTGGAGGTCTGTGCAGAAAGCAATATGTGCAGTGAGTGGCAAGTTATAAATGAACCTTCTTCCCCTTTTAGGAAGACTGGGATTTTTATTTCATTGTTTGTGAGCCAAATCCAATATACAGATATAGCCTATGTTCAAGATTTTATGACCTTGACAAGCACAAACCTATTAATAGTCATTTCCACATCTTTTTAAAAGCACGCTGTTAAAGAATTTATTTATTTGTTTTATCGTCTAGAGAAAATGCATTGAAGGAAACTGTCGGAGCACTAACATGTTTGTGTAATGTATGCGTTCTAATCTCTTGGTCAGGTCGTTGTCTTAGGCTGCGGTGATGGTGTTGTAAAAGAGCAACTATGTATCGCTTCAGTGTGAATGCTTTTAGAAGACGTCTGAAGACAGAAGAATGTTGTAAACCCTTCGTAGAAGTCGCTGGTTTCACGGCACGATACGTCAGGCGTGTATCCCACGTGATGACGACAGGGTTCGAATGACACAGAGTTGAAGTGTTCAGTAGTGTAGAAACACTGTTAATCTTCTGTTTGTGTTCAAGCAAAAAAAAAAAAAAAAAAGACCGGATACGTTTTCGTAGACGAATGGACGTTTGCTTTGAATTCACTCCTATCTCTTAACTGCCCCACTAAGCACTAACAGGCAGTTGTAACCTTTTGCTTTTCGGTGCAAAGGGATCTTGCCTTTTCTTTACTTTTCCTTCCTGAATGTTTTGAGTCTTTGATCTGTGTGCCACCTTCAAGAGAAAAAAAGAAGCCATTTAATGAGTTAGACCCACAGCTTTCAGAATTAACCTATGTGTATATATATCTTTTTGCTGGCATATATTGTAAGTAAAATAAAAATAAAAATCACTCAGGGCCTTTCAGTATACAAAAATAAAGGAGAACAGTCCATTTAATTAAAAATGGAAAGGTTGCCATGAAAGGATATATCTGATTTTAGAGTGGTTGTTTTCCTCAGACCACAAATAATTTAATGTAATCAATTATAACATTCAGTTTTGTCAGAATTAGTAGATTAGTAGATTACATCATTTAAAGATGGGCATGCAAGAAAATAAGATCAGTAAATATGTGATTAATATTCACTGAAAAGAGGCAATATACACCGCAACTCATTACACGTGTGTACTTTTGTTCTTTCACCCAAACCATATGCTTGACATAGGGGTTGTGATCATTTTTCTAAACGTGCCGCGGTGCGCACTATCCTACCTATTTCACTCCTAAATCTACTTCAGAGGTGTTCTGCATGAAAAAAAATTAAAAAAAAGTTAAACAAGTTTGTTATAGTGAAGGACATCTCAAATTATGGTGGAGACCTATTTAATGGTGCACAACATGCATGCTTGTCGACCAGATCCCAACTGATTTTTAGCTCTATTTGGGTTCTGGAGGTTTGGATCTTAACACTCAGCTGATAACTGCCATGCATTGTACTGCACACATTTGTATTAGAACTGAATGACTACAAGATTTTATTGCGCTAACTACATTTTCTATATAAAATTGTCTTGATTCCAGAGTTCTTACATCCGTTGTGTTACTGTTATTGCCCCAACGACTGAAAATAACATGCTCTGAAACTACTGTAGTTAATCGAAAGCCATAGTGAAACGGTGCTAGATGTTCTGCTTTTAGGTATGAAAACTCACTCGCGTGAATGCAATAGTTTGTCATGAATCCAGTGTATTCTTAAAGCATGTTCTACTAATACCCTAAACATGTCAGTCAGTGAAAATCAATATAGTTTATGGGATTTAAAAAGAAGATTAAAGTGTTGTCATTCTTATTTCAGTGTAGTACTGTACCTGCCTATCAGGCCCTTGCTCTCAGTGTATCTTAAAATGTATTGTTCACATATAGATACCTTAATTGATGTTAATATTAGCACTCTTATTTTGAAATTTGTATTTAATTGATAATATCCAGCTACCCTGACAAATAAAAAGCTAACCTTCCCTTAAGGTCTAGGTAAACCTTTATTGACAACTGAAAATAGAGTCTTGTAGTCTTTCTGTTACGAGCTTTTAAATAATCTCACAGCTTGTGTGATGCAAAAATGTTTTCCAATAAGCAGCTAAAATTTATTTAGGATTTGTGATGGATTGCTCCATAGATGCCGTTTCTTGTTTACCATTGAACTTTGCTGTGGTGGGATAGTGGTTTACTGTTTTTACTCTCCCTGGGCTCTAGGGGTCCTCGCCTGAACACCCGACTACCCACCCGCCATTAGAGCCAGGGGCATGTGTTCTGTGTTTGGCAGATGTTTTGCTTTGGTACTTGCACATTTACAGTTACCTCATTTTTTTCCATGTTTGTATTGGGTGGGGGAGACAACTAATATATATTATATACAGGAAATAGTTCTTATTAATGTTATAATTTTCATTCCATTGGAATCCTATTGTTTGTAGCATTTAACATAACTAGTTTGTGTATTATATATACATCTGTATACTGTTTGAAATTTTTAAGATTTGTACTTTTTTTAAATGACAGTTGCTAGTTATGCTTTGCCAAGTAGTGCAATCATTTCTTCTTAATTGTGGCTGATTTGAAAGGGTTGTTCAATAATAAATGTATAATGTATACCAATATTACAATTGTCTCATTTTAACACATTTGACACGCGTGTGAAAAATGGGAAAACATTAAAATGTAAACCCCACTCACAAATACCTCAAACTGTATAATATAATTTTCTGTCATAATATAGCATAACATGTACATAGAGAAATAGTGCTAGTATGGTAATAAATAAATCCTAGTTAATCATGCCGTAGAAAAAAAAAACCAAGCTCATAGTGTAGTTTGCCATCTAATATTGTATACATCAAGTATATTGGCATAATATAGTGTATAGTATAGATGTGAAAATATGATTATATAAATATATATATATATATATATATATATGCCACCAGCCATTCTGCCATGGGTTTGGTAACCTCGAGCGCCAAAAGCGCGATTAGACGAGCTAACCACGGGGCAGCGCCTCCCAACAATCCCCCTTCCAACCGCCTCTTCGTTCCAGCAAGTTGAGCTCCCGAGTCTTGCACTGGGGCCACTCCTCCAGAAGCAGCAGGGGGTCAGGAGGACGGTCAGCTTCCTTAGGCAGCGGTTCTGGTGGCCATCACTCGAGACAGACACGGGCGAGTTTGTGGCTGCTGGTCCGGTTTGCTCCCAGAGCAAAACCTCCCGCCAGCAACCATCCAGGTTACTACAAACCCTTCTAGTGCCCCTACATACATGTACTTATGTACAGTATATGTATATATACATATATTTGTGTATTGATGTATATATATATTAGAGAGGTCAAAATTACAGCGTTATGGTATGCGATTAATGTGGCGGAGATTAATGCCATAAAATATTTAAACGCAGTTAGGGCAATCTTGTTTACTTCCGGTCTTCCGTTGTGCCGGAAGTCAACAAAGTTGACACCGGAATGGAAACAACTGCTCACTACAGCCAGTCAGATCCGAGAGAGGGAGGCGGTAGCTGAAGACGGAGAGAACGTTTTGCATTGGAAGTAAAATAAACAGAGGCGAGACATACAGCGGAGGACCCTGCGCCGCACATTGCAGAGGACCGCGGTGTCCCTAAAAGACCGTGGTTTGAAAACGTCCTGGCTAAATGTGGGGACAGTGTTGGCACTTCAAACACAGCAGTCACATGATGGAGAAGTGAGAGCAAAGAGCACGAGTACAGCAGTCAGGAATGACAACTACCATCTGTATGAAAGCCAGTGACCCTTGTTGACTATTACAGGCAACTCTGTACTTCTAAGTGAACGGCTGCTATCCACCCACTGGAGTGTGTGTTAGTGAATAGCACAGCACTGCCCCATTGTACTTTCAATGACAATTGACAAACTAATCTAAAATATCACAATACAATGTTAGTTTCTCTCAGGTTGACTTTTCACTGGTCTAATAACACCACAATAAAGAGCTGCTTAGCATTCTCAATAAACTCACTTTTTTAACTTCTTTAATTTATAGTTGGAAAAGTACATCTTATGAACCTATTTAGATGTTACAGGCAAAACAGGCATCTATGAGTAACCACAGGCACACTATGGTCAGACTCGTACTTTATTAGAGGAAGCCACATGGAAAACTGCGACCCGTTAAGTATTGTATTTTTTTTTCTTTTTTTACTTCAATAGCGTGAGGCAGTCTGCTCCACATAGTAAACAACCTGCATTTGGTCATTTCATGACAGAGGAGTCAAAAAAAACAAAAAATGTAAGGTAAAGTTGGGGACTTTAAATATCTTACTTATGTACAGGTCATGGCTCATTTAAAACAGGGTTCCCATATTTACTCCAAGTCCAAATCCATCAACCTACTCCTTAAAGTAGTACATTTGTTTTCCACGCCACATAGATTCACAATCGTAGCAATGCTCACCACTCAAAACCAGTACTGTGCTCGATAATCATTCGGGAGGAAACATGCAAACTTAGGGGCCAAAAAGAGTCAATCAATTTTGGACACGTGGCTCAAGCATCAAGTCTTTGTCATGAAGATAGCCGATGCATTCACACCATCATTGAAATCCATACTTCTCCATGCTGCATCCTCCGAGTGTCAGTAGGTATGAATGAAACCTGTCCTCAGCAGCTGATTCAACAGTAAGTCATTGGGATATGGTCCTAGTTTTGCATAAAGCTATGGTACTGTTAGTCATTTTCAGTAGATGACTTATGCTGCAAAAGTTACTGGGGAGAAATGACCGGAACTACTTGATAGCAAGTGCAGGGAAAAAAAACGTCTTTGTGCCCACGGATACAAAGATTAGTTCAAGGAAGGACTTCAAGAAATATCTTTTGATAAAATGAAAGACTTTTCAGGCTACTGGGAACCCTGTACACACAACCAAACGAGGACTGGATGTAGGGAGGTTATATTTTTCCAGGTTAGGATTTCATCTCGATTATCACTTGTGCATAATGGCCCTTTAACAAAAAAAGAAAAGAAAAATGGGGTTTGGGCATTGATGAACAGAGAAAACTGATTTCCATTTTACAGGAGGTTTGTCATCTATTAATCCTCTGTAAGGTCCTGAACAAAAAGGACCTCAGAGCGACTGAGTCCCGCCTCTTTCAGTGTGGGAGGGTTGGGTTGTTCTTCAGTCGGAAGGCAGGGCAACACTCGGCGAGGGAAGTTTGTAATGATCTGGAACTTCTCCGGGCTTTCTTTCAAAGAGAACAGGAAGTCGTATATGACCTGTGAAAGAAAAAAAAAAAAAAGTCTGGCAAATAACCACATGCAGCGGAATATAGAGAAGAAATGTTTTTTTGATCACGTAAGAGCCACATAAGATGCTAAAAGAAAAGAATAAATGTGTTCACGAGTGGAGCATATCTGTATGAAACAAACATACTTGCAGGAGCCTCCTTTTTCTTGGCTGTGGAGATCACAGGCCAAACTAAAATGAATTTGAACCAACTCACTGCTTATCATTGTCAAATCTTCCGAATACCACGATATAAGATAATCATCATCTGTCAACCGGGTGTGCTGGGGGTGGGGGAGGGGGTCTTGACAGTGGCACTCACCGTCAGAGACTGCCCAAAGAGGAACCGTCGCTCTACTCTTGTATCATTGGGCAGCTTAAACACTATTTTGACACTTTCAGGATCATCTGCAGGTGGCTCTGGGGGAAGACATTCGGACTTCCTCTCCTTCTCCTCTTCAAGTGTCTTGAGTCAAAAAGAAAATGGGCATGTGAAACAATAAACTAAGAACTTTATGCATACACCATCTAGCAGTGAGACAGCAGGTTGCGTTGTGCCCATGCGAGATGGCCCTGATAAAGGCCATTTTCACATCCATACGTTAATACGTATCGCAACATCGCATGCGTCCTGATAATTCATGGGGTTATTTAGAGCCCATTGACCCAACTGGTCTAGGTCATATTTATGGATGCAGTGTTTAGATTGTAATTTTAATGTCAATTCAGATTTTCTTTTTTTAAAGTTTTAACTACCACTTAGTTTTCTATAGAACTATTGACATATTTTCACCACACTTTTGACAAGGGAGTGTAGATTGTATCCTAATATTTTTGTTAAATCTATAGTGGACATGTATGGAAATACACGTTTCGAATGATAAAGATTGTGTGCATACTTAAATAGTTCCTTTGATAAAACTATATCTGGACTTTTGTAGTATTAATATATTATAAGCTGCTTGGAGCTAGTGTGGATTGAATTACGACTGATCTGTCAATCTACGTTATTCTGCAACAAAAATGGTATTTTGAATGTGTTGCACCAAAAATAGATTGTAAGAGAAAAGAAAATCGGCAAAAAATCAGAAAGAAGAAAGAAATTTAGCAAAACACAATGCTTATTTTTAGGTGGTTGTACAACTAAAGAAAATATTAATATTATGTTGCCTTTCTACCTATGGATCCTTCTAAATGTTACATACTGTCCGTAGATAAGTACGGTAAAACTTACTCGTAGTCTTCGCTCCTCAGCCAGAGCAGTCTGTCGGACCTTCTCCTCCTCCTGCCTCAGCTGCTCCTCCTCCTCCCTTTTCTTTCGGTCCTTCTCCTGGTCGGCCCGCAGAGAGGCCAGATAGGCCTCATCCTGCTGCTGCCTCAGCACTTGGGTCTGGCTCCTCTCCTCCCTGAAACAAAAGATGTTTTGTCCTTGAAAACCTTTCTGGAGTACATAAGCATGCTGACACATGCACACACAAAAACAAAACAATACAAAACAAAATTATAACAAATACCATTGAAACGAAGTTATACATCTCATGGTTGCACTCAAGAAATACAAATTAAAGAAAAATAAATCAAGCTGAACCGACAGGAAAGGAACTTTTTTCTTTGGCCATAACTCAATAATTAATATGCTACTTATGACATCTTCACACACTAAAACGATCAAATTATCAAGTAATGGCATTTTTAAAAGACGTTGATATAAACTGCAACTGGTCTGGTTGGCTGATGCATACAGCCAAGAGTTGATAATTCTAACTTCACAAATGCAAATGGAGATAAAATGTCTCATGTTGGGGGAACTATGAGAATGAGAATGTATTTATTTCAAGTACCGTTCCATGCGCTCCGACATCAGATGTGTTTGGTTGGCGTCCATGATGAACGTGAGCTGATTGATGAAGTCCTCTGGCTGAATAAGTCCCTCAAGCCTGCCCACCACTGTCATCTTGCGGTCTTTCAGCATGATCATGGCCAGGAATGGATAGGTATTCTCTCGCAATGCTTGTGACACTGAAACACACCCAAATATTAGGCAATCAAATCTCACTGCTCCAATGACGCTGCTACGCTACATTTTATTCATCTCATTAGATGGCCAACTCATCTAAAGACACAAAAATCAAACTTAGTCATTGCGGTAGCTAGTATGCTGAATTCACCAAATAACCGGAACTAACACAAACAATACATAAATGGAGCCTGCCTGTGTGTGTGTATAAGGCACAAACAAAAAAATGGTGGGTTGAAAAACAATCAATTGGATTACCTCTGTAGCCCTCAGGCTTGCTGGTTGAGCATGCCCAAAAGAGCATTTGTGTGTTGAGGAAAGTTATGACCTCTTCTGTACATAAGGTGGAGCTGGGAAAGGGACAAATTAGTTGCACAAAATTACCATTTATAAAAGGGAAATACAAGAGGACAGGATGCTCCTCGAGTAAAAACAAACCGAAGCAAATGTATGACAGAAATACAATGGCAACAACAAGCACTGAGAGGAGCTATGCTATGCGGCAGGTCATGGCGGCAGACACTCAATCGCCGTAGATAAGGAAGTAACTGTCTTACCGGCAAAACTGGTCAGTGTCTTGATGATCCTCACCATGAAGGTACACTAATAAGAAGCGGAGCTCCCGTTTGGCATCATTCAGTGCCTACAGGTTTCAGGGTGAAAACACAACAACTTCACCTGGTTAGACATCTACAATGAATGAGAGCAAAACACATGTATGTTTGGAATTGGGTATATGCGCACTGAACTCACCTGGCTGTATGTTCCCTGGTAAAATACAGGGTGTGACTGACCATACTTCTCCTCAAAACTATGAATGAAGGAAACAACATCACCGACCGGGTCTGTCACACGGCCACGAGGATCTGGCCTCACGAAACGCATGGCAAACCTTGGAGAAAAGATTTAAAACATTATGGTGACCAGTAACCTTCCTCTTCTCTGCAGCTCAAATGTCTTAGTGTGCTTACATTACCTGAATATGTCCAGAAGTGTAGAATATGTATATCTTAACGGTAGCATTATCAAGTAGTAACTCCATCCTATCAACCCCTGCAAACAATGACGCAAGCAGTCAATTAGACAGTACAAAAATAAACAAATTCCAGAATGCCACTAAAATACAACGATTCAAAACATCAGAGAAAAATGAAAATATTTTATGAATAAATAATCCTATTATGTTTAAAGAAGCATACAGTCATGCTACAGTATTGAGGTGTCAAGTATTAATGGGTATATAAATAGTTTTACTTAATATTTTGTTTTTATTTATTTATTAATGTTATCTTATTACACAAACTTTAAAAGAAACTGCAGACTTACACTGGGCTGTGGCCTTGAGACGGTGTAACTATATACTCTATGGTCTGCTGTATTGACCTGTAATGGTCTGGATGGTGGAGGGTTAAACACACTGGGAACTCCTTCCTGCTCATTAAGTCGGTCCTGTACTGCAGCCTGAAACAGATACATTGAAGTCCATCATTTTAAAGTCACGTCCAACCAAAACAAGCCAAAGTCTGCATATGAATGAGACGTAAATAGAGCAGGGTTTTATTGGGCGGAATATTAATACATGTTCAAATTAAATATAATATGAGAAAACCCTGTTAACATCAATATAAGATATAAAAATGCAGCTAAGCGAAGGCCAACCCTACAAAAACGGAAATGTACGTCGCTGAGTGACCATTGCCGTTGCTCTGTTACAAGGAATTGATGACAGCGTTTTTGACTCTTATTAATCAGATGAGCATATCTAAGCCAATAACATGTATGTTTATCTATACATGCATGTCAAACGTCAGTTCTTGTAGTTGCAGGGTGTTGGCAGTTATATTTGTATGTTTAAGAGTATCAAATTGGCATAGGTCTGTGGCCAAGGGACAGTTGCTGAAAAGTGGAGAAAACTACAGTAAAGTTGTGAGAAATAAATGTGCAGTGTAGGTTTTAGTTTGTGTACAAATAAACATTGTAGCACCAGAAGAATAACAATAAATTTGTTTGTAATTGTCAAAGGACAATCTGTCTGGTCTGTTTGACAAAGTGACATTAATCACACAACACTTTAAAAACAATACGATTACGTGCTGAATCTATTGAATTAAAGCAGATCTCAATTATTTGTCTCAAACATAACTTTGGCATGACACACATAGATTTTGTGACATCTCACATGTGGATTTGCAGATACTCAAAATACTGTTAGATCCTGCGTATATCGTCACATTTAGCTTAAAAATGCAATTAATACTTTTAGGTTAATATCACCCAAAACAACACGGGCATTTCACGACTTACCTCTATGTTCCAATTATGCTGTTCTAATGTTCGACGACATTGGTCCATTGATTCCAAACCAGTTAGGTCCTGTTAAGACATTAAACGATTTGTGTTTTTGACACACACACACACACACACACACACACACAGAAACAAAACGTGCCATAGTTAAGAGTAGGATACATTTACAGACTGAGTGCGCGGCACACTAGCATTACTCGTACTGTCATGGGACCGAGCATTGCATTTAGCATGGTTAAAAACAGTTAACAGCAGCTGATCAAACTAAATGCCGACTCGATCATTGCCGCTCTACTAATGTTTACTCTGCAAGTCTTTACGTTAACCAAGTTGGAGCGTCAGTGGACACGGAGCGTTACCGTTAGCCAAGTTAACGTAACGTCAGATAGATTAACGTTACATTAAAAAACGCAACACGGGTGATGTTCGTTACTATCAAAGTTAGGAATTGGTATGTCTCTGAACAGAATATAACGAACAGTAAGGAGTTTAGATGCACCCGTGGCCATTCCAGTCGCATAACTTGTTAGCTAGCTTAGCTAATATCAGCTAGCTTTGCTAGCGTTAGCTGTGGCTCAAGTTGACGGCTAACACTAGGGGGGCTGGCGGGTAACGTTAAGTTGCCTGTGCAAAACGCGTCCAAACACGGACGGTTCCCTCTATTTACGGTGAGTCGGCACCAACACTTGTGTATTAACATATGGATCAAACGGACGAATGTTATTGTGGAATTTAGGCTGTCTACCTGAAATTGAAGCAGCTTTTCTGTCTGCGCCTGAGATAATTCTGGCTCCTCTGGCGCCGCCATCTTACCTCGCCAATCATCTAGCGAGGCGTAACAACGTCAACCGTCTTTTCCTGATGCCGGCTGCGTTCTCGCAACGTGCGCGCTCCACTGCCCCCTAGAGCGCCGGATGACGTCAGTGGGCTGATAAAAGCACGGGCCGCGATAGCGAAGACGAACCCACGTCTTCGTATTGCTTGCTTGGATCGTCCTTGAGCAGAAGCTGTAGACCGGGATGTAAACGCAACACTGATGGTTGCAGTTTGGGGAAGAAGATGTTCGCACGAAATGAAATGTTCGTCGAACGAGCGGGAAGAAAAAACGGAGAAAGTAAACAGCAGAGTAATTGCTATTGAAAATGATCATTAGTTTACAGCAGCACTGCTCAGTTATAAGTTACTTTTTTTTATTTGGTGAAGAGGGTGTTTTACAGACAAGATAAAGGTTTTTATTGTCATTGTAGAGCGACATTTGTTTATCCGAATAATGCTTCTACTCTTTCAGTTAGCACTAAAGGATGGCCTTAAGCTATATACAAAAAAAATATAATTAATGTTAACATGCATTCTGTTTCGTCCAAAAACCTCATATTGCTTAAACGGCCCCTCCCCACACACACTTTCTGAAATACTTGTAAGCATAGATTTTTACGAGTGAAACTCGATATGTACTACTTGAGTGAATAAACATTTATTTGGTCGTTTGTGGTTTGATTTCTTTATCAGACTGAAAATGATAACCAATGAATTATTTAAATGTAAAAGTTTTGCCTGAAAGAGTATTCCCTTGAATTTTTAAGTAAGGTGTGTACATTCGACAAAGACAAAGCTGACACACAAAGATCATTTAATTGTTTTATTCTTAAATATTCTGTAACTTAAAAAGCAAAACTTGTATCAAAACAGTAAGATCAAGAAAAAGAACTCACAATATAGCACAGTGTAATGTATATGTCATTATTTCAAAATGCTGAGCCATCCTGCGTCACTTTTTTCCTTCCACCATAATGATGTGGTACCCAAACTTTGTCTTGACAGGAGGGTCGGTGTAGACGGGTTTATCCATGGTACTGATAGCGAGGGCAAACGCTGCTTCTTGGAAAGGTCCAACCATCGATCCTCGAGTCATCCACCCCAGATCTCCCTGTCATGATCAGAACAATCAAGATGTAAAGACATATTATGGACCTAATATGGAGCCTGGATAACAGGAAGTGAAGCTGAGTAACAAAGACAAAGTCGGATTTCAAAAACAGTGAGCAATGTAGGAACTTCTAGCAAAAATGCTATAGGCCCACTTGGTTCACAGATAATGATGCCAGGTAAAAAAAATGGTACAGTGATGGTTCAAACCCATGAACTATTTTCATGGGGAGTACCCAAGAGTACACCAGTGGAGTGGTTGTGATGCAAGTGTAAATAAGGAGGAAATGTTGTACAGTCCAAATGTCAAAAATAGCATAAGTGCTCAGCCAATTTCTCATTAAAGGGGAAGTAAAATATTATTATTCACCAGTCTGGAATGAATCACATATTAATATTTAGATGTTCTCTTGAATATTTAAGAGTTGTCATATTTAACACCAACACTTAAAAAAGACCTGAATTCGAAAGAAGACTTCCCAACCAAAACTAAATGCACAAATGTCAAAAATATGTGCAGGGTAGAAAAGAAAATGCAGAAGATCATCTTTGTTGAACCTTACAGTCAATACAGTTGAATCATTTAAAGCTATTAAAGACATTACACAGTCATGTTCAAAATACAGACCAAAACTGCACAAACGAAACGATTGTGAGTGAATGTTCTTACTCCTTGTCTGGCTTTGTCCTCACTGTACTGTGAAGCGACTTCACTAAAACGGACTCCAGCCTTCAGCTTCTCCATTGCTTCCATGCACTTTCCATGTTTTTCACACAGGATGTGCCGGACCTGGGGGGGAAATACAGAACACACCAAAAGTCAATCAAAAAACAGGGGTTGGAAAGAAACTATTAAAACAGAAATAGATCATGAACACAGCATATGACGTGGACAGCGCTCCCAAATCCACAAATACTTTCCTGGCCCCGGCGCTTACTGCTCTTTCTAACGCACAGCTGAATTTTAGCAGCCATGATGCTTTTTCCCTCAGTAGCAGTCGAGACATACCAACACAATCTTTGAATTATCTTCACAGAACTAAATATATCTCTGATATATCAGAATCAGTAGCCATTTATTGCCACGTATGTTACAGATAGAGGAATTTGACTTGGTGAATTTGTGCAATATAAGATTAAAATAAGATAAAAATATACAAGCAAGATCACAGTAGCGCCGAGTGCGAAAAGTAGTCGGTGGCAGGTTCCTTTGTCAGAAAAGGTAGGTTCCGGTGGTCGGTTCCTCCGGGGGTCGGTGGCAGGTTCATTTTTCAGAACGGCACAAGCCGTTCTCAGTTGGGTATCTGGCGACATGGACCCTGCTCCTCATGCAACTCCATGTAACGTTAAATGAGTATCTTCGTGACCATGGGGTTGCCGTAAATGTTTTTTTCTAACTATATTGAGAATCTGGCACAACACAGCGACTTGCAAGGAGTGCGGAATCTTAAAAAAAAGTGATATGTGTCTTAATGCGAGGCTTAAGAAATGAACACAAAGGGATTCTGTATTTGCTCATAGTCTGAAACGGGTCATTTGGCCAATGTTCTGATAACCGACCGCAGCCAGTGGACAGAGATCATATTCATATTATTGGAAGGTTCCTATAGATCATGCGACCGGCCGTTCATATTATAGGATGGTGCCTACAGATCATGTGACCTGCCGTTCATATTATAGGAAGGTGCCTACAGATAATGCGACCTGCCGTTCATATTATAGGAAGGTGCCTACAGATCATGTGATCAGCCGTTCACATTGTAGGAAGGTGCCTACAGATCATGCGACCGGCCGTTCATATTATAGGAAGGTGCCTACAGATCATGTGACCTGCCGTTCATATTATAGGAAGGTGCCTACAGATCATGTGACCTGCCGTTCATATTATAGGAAGGTGCCTACAGATCCCAGACCGGCCGTTCATATTATAGGAAGGTGCCTACAGATCATGCGACCGGCCGTTCATATTATAGGAAGGTGCCTACAGATCATGCGACCTGCCGTTCATATTATAGGAAGGTGCCTACAGATCATGCGACCGGCCGTTCATATTATAGGAAGGTGCCTACAGATCATGTGACCTGCCGTTCATATTATAGGAAGGTGCCTACAGATCATGCGACCTGCCGTTCATATTATAGGAAGGTGCCTACAGATCATGCAACCGGCTGCTCATATTATAGGAAGGTGCCTACAGATCATGTGACTGGCCGTTCTGAAAAAGGAACCTTCCACGGACCACTTTTCGCACTCGGCCTCACTCAGCAAAATATAATTAGATCTATTTTTTAAACTATTCAAATAAAGAGGAAAAGGGCATCAATGAAACATCTTGACATTGAATTTTTTTCTCAGCTTCACAACTACATGTAGATGGTCTGTATTGATTCACATGTCGTGTTGGTTAAATGTCACTCATGAAAGCCCTGTGAACGTTACCTTTACAGCAGTGCCTCCCTTTGGTGCCTTCTCTTTTTTCTCAGCGTCTGCACTTCCGGAAGCTCCTCCTGCGCAACGCGACAACACCGTTGAAACAATTAAAAAGCCACACAAAGAAACACGATCAAATCTAGCGAGCCAAGTTAGCTAACGTTACGTCATCACATGGAAGTTTTGTCTGCTACCGAGGTTGAGGTTGATGTTAATGCCATTGAGCAAAACAAAACACATACATAACAACAGAGGGATAACAATGGGACACTAACCTTTACCACCCTTGCCACCTTTTCCCTTTGGTGGCATTTTAGATTAACATTAAAGGAAATTCAGGACTTATAGCAAAACACTGCAACAACATGCGCATGCATGACATGCGCATCGAGCTCGTGTTTCTTCTTCTTCAACATTTATTGGCTGCGGGCGTTTGTCATCTATACCGCCACCTAGTGAAATGTCTGAAAGTCTCAAATGACACGCTAACGAGGGTAAATAAAATAGTGTAGGTCTACGGTAAATGTGCCTGAATGTAATTGTGTTACAAATTGGAAAAAGCAGGGAAATGGGCCGGTATATTATCTTTAAATCATTATTGTCAAGTTCAGTCGAAGGTTTATCTTGGCCTTTTGTCATTGACAAATCCTCCTCAAAATTATGTCAGGCCATTAAAACGCTACTATTCATTGAGTTAATATAAAGGGGCTGCAAATATACCTTTACATTAAAGGCTATTTTACATTACATTACAGGTCATATCTAAAGCGACTTACATTACATTTTTAACCCATTTTTTTTACATTTTTGCCCGGGAAGCAATTCGGGGTTAGGTGTCTTGCTCAGGGACACTTCGACATGGGACATGGGGCAGCCGGGACTCGAACCACCAACCTTGCGGTGCCCACCTGTAGTCCCCCGAACAGCAAGGAAGGTAAGCACAAACATAACATTTGCAACAGCACAAAGAAGTAGTTCCACTCCCACCGGCGCGTGCAGTTACCATGGGAACGCGACCCGACACAGACGCCCGGGGACGCCTTTTGACAGCCAGCGAAGCGCTTCCACGCCGCGACACCGTTTGTTCGCTTTTGCCGCTTTTGACGGACCCATGGAGGAGTACGAGGAGGTGCGGTTTTTGGGCCGCGGAGGAACCGCGGACGTGTTCCTTATGAGGCACGTCGAGGCCCGCAGCCTGCGCGCCGTCAAGAGGATCCGAGTTGAGGACTCGGGGACGGCGAAAACGCGAGGCGCCGCCCTCCGGGAGGCCGAGATCCTCCGTGCGTTGGAGCACCCCCACGTAGTGAAATGCCACGACGCCTTTGCCCACACCGACGGGTGCATTTGCATTGTGATGAGCTACTGCGATGGGGGGACATTAGATGACAAAGTGAAGGGGAGGAAAGCACTGGAGTTTTTCCCCGAGGACACTGCGATGGGATGGTTTGTGCAGGTCGCCGTTGCTTTGCATTACATACACGGGGCAAAAATACTGCACAGGGACATCAAAACATCAAATGTGTTACTGACAAAGCAAGGCGTGGTGAAGTTGGGGGACTTTGGAATATCCAGAGTAATGGCCGACACGGCGGACTTGTGCTCCACCTGTGTTGGGACACCCATCTACCTCAGTCCTGAGCTGTGCCAGGGCGTCCCGTACAGCTCCATGTCTGATATCTGGGCTCTCGGCTGTCTGCTGTACAAGATCTGTGCTCTCAGAGCTCCGTTTACAGCCACAAACCTCCTGAGTCTGTCTTACAAGATCACCAAAGGGGAGTACGATCCCGTTCCTACCTGCTATTCGGACAACGTGTCCTCTTTGGTAAGGAGAATGCTCAGCCTCAACCCAGAAAACAGGCCCACTGCTGCCTGGATACTAAACGCTGCATACGTGCAAGACCACCTGAAGGCCATCAAACACGCAGTGACCGACTGTGTTCCTGGGAAAAGCGATGACTTAAATAAAAAAGAAATAAAATCAGACACCACACTACAGCCAGATGCTCTCGGCCCGTCTCACGCGGAGGCCGGTCCCGGGGATGCGCAGGACGAAAATGATTTCTTGTGTGTCAGGGGACAAAACCACTCCTACACAGAGGACTTTGATGAAGAGGAAAGTCTCTCCTCTCTCGAGCAGCGCAGTGAGAGCCCGGCGTCGCCAGCGAGGAGCAGTTCTGCTGAGCCGATCGGTAACGTAGAAATGCAGAGTGAAATACCTTCCATCAAACTAATAAATAGTAGAAGAAGTTTCAGCAAAATGACAAATTCTGACGAAAAATGGCAGATTGTATGATACTTTATTATATAGCCGGTTACAATGTTATTGATGGCTAGTACATCGGTCCGTAAGGAACTTTTCACGGTTGTAACTTGAGGTGGAGCTAGTTTTAATTACTCAAGACAACACATTGCCCAGTTTAAAATAATTGAGTTGAAAAATGAAAATGAAAAATTCTCAAAGGTCATCTCAGGTCAGAATTGACAAAAGGCCATAGGGACTCTGACAATTGGTACCACAGGTTTTATATTTAGCATGCCTCAAAAGGTTTTACCTAGAAAGTAATTGTGACTTTTTATCCAAATCTCAACTAATCCAACGTGATCTCCAAAACCTGTTCGTAAAAATGTATACGAAAATCTTGAACATACAAATTCGTAACAATACATACAAACTGGCGGTGGTTAACCACGCCCCTTGAGTGAACAACATGGCGGAGCATGTCGGATTCTTGAGTGAACGTCTCTCCGCCATGTTGGATTTTTTGAGGGGGTTAGGGTTAGTATTGTATTCTTACAAGTTAACATTGACTTCTCGTTAAAAATGCAATCATAACACGTTTCATTTACGTCGTTAGACTTCACAAAGTGTGTTTACGGGGTGCAGGTCCCCATTCACTATGAATAGGGTGACGTCATCAGTTGCAGTCCGTATTTATTTTGTATGTATCACTACGAATCCAGTTTTACGAACAGGTTTTGGAGATCAGGCTGACTAATCAGCCCTGCTCAATTTGAGATCAGAGAAGCACCCTAACTATACAGCTAACTATTAAGAAATATAGGTCCTTAATAAGCTGCGCTATGGTGGGACCAGGTCAAAGCTTTGAACCTCCCTTTCTCGCTTATAGTGTTTTCAGAGACTTACGACGTCTCAGAGGAAGTGGAATATCCGGATGACTTTGAGGAAGCCGAAGTGGAAGAAGAATATGAGGACGAAGCCGCCCGGGTTCATACTGATGCTCCCCAGCAGCCGCATGACGACGGAGTGGAGGAGGAGTTTCAGCTCTGTGATGCTGGAGGATTGACGGTCACACTAAAAGCACTTAAGGAAAAGGGCTGATTAAAAAAGGACGCAATTATTGCAACGTATAGGAGTGAAGGAATTTTTTTCATGCTGTCCTGACTTACCCTGACAGGAAAAATAAACACGGAAGCTTCCAGCAAGGTTTATAAATGTAAACACAGGTTTCGTTGCATTCAGGAGGCTTAGAGACGAAACAAACAAAACAAAAACAAAAAGGGTAACCTCGTTGTATATTAGCACTTATGTGATATAAACCCTTTGACATTCTGATCTCCAAAATGAACTCGTTGCAGCCTTATCCAGAACAGGTTGTGCATTGAATATAATCCATTTCTCTCTGGCATTGTGGACATCCACGAGCGGCCGACATGTAATCTGTGAAACCGATCTCACTAGATTCTTATCTCAACAGTCACACCCTCCATACATAAGTGGTTATGATTTTAATTTGAGTTGATTTGAATATGCAAAGCTAAAGGCCAAACGTGGCCTCGAGGGAAATGTACAATACAACTTTTATCAACACGCAATCTCTCCTGAGTAGACCAAAATGTTTCCCTCGCGTAGTCAGCAGTCTCAGGTTCACCCACTAACGTTACATTTACAAGCACACGTTCATCTTTCCAGAAGCTAACACTTCATGCATCATCGCAAAAGGTAACCAGCTTGGAAATGTTTCCCATGTGAGCCGAAAGTCCCGCCACATACATGGCGTACAGCATACATCATCCGTCTGTGCCTTAACGCGGTTAAAAAGCACTGTGCTCGTCCACTCTGAGGCATCGGTGCCCCGAGGGGCCTACGTCCCATCCGACTATCTATCCCTCTAAACAACACTTGTTAACTTGAGCGAAATGCACTGACATGTATGTATTTTAGTCACAAAGATGTGACCTTCGACGGCTTTAAATCTGCTCACCTTTTTTTCGTCACTGTGAAGATTCCCCTCCTGTGCACGGAACTACACCAATCTTCCACTCAATCCACCTCAAATTGACACGTTTACACTCATCTGATTCGTCGTCCACCGATGGTGTAAAAGATAAAGGTATCGCACCTAACTTCCATGATGACAGCAAAAATGTGGTGACAGCACTCTTCGATAGACGCCGCATGAGTCATGAAGTGGCAGTAAAGATAGCATCACAAATCAGAAAATTACACAGGCGTTTAAAAAAAAAATGTATGTAGGTAATTCCTTGTGTTTTCCCTGTATTCACCACAGCAGCACATGAACGCATCTCACCTTGTTTCCTGTCCGGTGTGAGACTATTCACTCGTAAAGGCTTGTTTAAGAAATGACAAACTTGAAAGTGGGGAGATCAATGACGAAATGATAAATACAAAAATCAATGTTGCACTATTGGAGTAGCTCAGCATATGAAGTTGATGTACTTCTTTTGGGCTTATACTGTAATGGCAAAACATATATGTAACCCTTAAAAATGCGTCATTGTATACCCAAGTTAATAAAAACTTAAGTGCTGGGATGGGGAGGCCATGGGAAAAGAACTCAAGTGTCTCACATTGATAAGACGTCCTGGCTGTAGAGACACAACAACCTGCTGAGCACGTAGCTGTTGTGACCTTTTTTCCCTGCAAGAAAATAAACGGAGACATATTTGATTCAGAGCCTTTATTCTGATTTTACGATTGTCTGTGCAAAATCTGCCATCACAACACCAACATGTTTGAATGCGCTTGGATAAAAATGTACATGGGGAAAGTCAGTAACAGTATCTACGAAAGTATCTTCGGCTACCGAAACTGAGGTCTGAGGGCACTAGGGGGCCGAGAAAAACCCCTAACCCTAGGGAAGTCCAAAACAAAAAAAAAGGGCAACCTATCATAAAATATTTATAGATTGTGGTCGAGAGATGACGCGGCTAAACAGTGTTAATAGCCGCGTCATCTCTCGCCCACAAACAGGGTTAACACTACAGCCTTTTCTGTCAAGATGGTGATGCGGATGATTTCGTTATGAGAAGTTGTCAATTAACCATTCGTGGACAAAGTTAAAGAGATTTCTTAAAGTAAAATACAACAGAGGGAATCATGTTATATTGCGTTTTATATATTAACAGGAAGTTCTCAGTACCAATTGAACTATTGAACATTGTAGGTTTCAATCTGTCGCTATCGTATTGAATACATTTCAATATAAAGATTTAATATTCTATAACACAAAATTTATAATACTATTTTGACTTGCACACGTTGACAAGCAAACAGTGTGAAAGGTAACGACGTTACCTTGAAATCCTCCGTCCTCCACAATGCAGATGAACAACATACCATGTTTGCATACATGTTTGTCACTCAGTCGTAACAGAGGTGATGACTATTTTGTTCTAGTTAAGGGTTAAAATAGTGGTTTCTTATGTTGAGATTTTATATATTTTGTATTTCTAAATAAATTAAAAGATTAAAAAAAAAAAATGTTAGATTCTAAAAAAAAACACTTGACAAGCAACAATGAAAAAAAACATTTCCATGTAGGTGTCTGACTTCCCTTTCCTCTCTGACCCCAGTATATAAAGAGGATGGGCAGATAGCAATCACTACACCACTACCGCTTGAACGCAACAAACAGAAGCTGTTTAAGAAGAGTAGAAGAACGAGACAACGCTGCATGATAATGAAGTCTGTGTTTGCCCTTGTTGTCCTGTTGCATCTCTGCGACGGCTCTACGTCAGACATGGGGCTGAATTCGGAGATTATAATAAAACTGAAGCGTCTCAACACTCTCTTCCGTTCCGACAAAGTCGTATTAGTGAGTATAACGCATTGATACATGTTCCTTAATGACTGTCATAATTTGACATACTACATATTCAGTGCTTTATGGTTTATTCAATGCACTTTGTCCCCACAGCCAGACTTGATGCGCTTGCCAAATATGAGCAAAACTCCAAATCTAGTAAGTTTTGCACCTGTTCGACCGTTGCACGTTGACTTTTCTTGTTATGTTGAACAAAGCTCACAATGGCACATGTTCTCCACATGAAGTGATAACAGGTACATTCCTTTTCATTGCAGTCGTCCTGTGTGAATCGCTTTGTGACGAACCTGAAACAGGTTCTTGACAATGTGACGGTACACGGAGACAACCAGCATACTCTCCATGAACTTCAGGCAAATCTGAGGTCCGTGAAGATGGGTGAACAGGTAAGCCGACAACACCATGCCCGTGCATCTGCTTTCAGCATTACGTCATCCCTGACTCTTTGTTACTGCAGCATCGGTATCCAGATGCAATATAATCCTGAACCCTTTCTCTTCCAGGGTCACCCCGAATGTTACACGAAGCTTCGAGGAAAGGAGATGAAGCCTTTTCAGTCATATATCAACTTCTTCCGGAAACTAAACAACCTAAAGAAAAAATGAAGGATTTTTTGATTGTTTTATGTAGGGGTTTTTCTGTGATTGATGATTAGCTATTTTAAAATTAATGAACCAAATTTTGAACCAATTGAGGTTGTTTTAACTAATTATTTTTATTTATTATATTTATGTTTACATATTTATTTATTTATTTATTTACAGGAAACCAGATTCCTATGATGAATCAGTCAATAAGATGCAACAAAGTAATATTCACTATGTGAAAAACATTATTTCAGTAGAGATATTTCAGTCAAATGAATAAACTACTTCAATCATTTGTTGAGACCTTTTCTAAATCATTCACTGATATGCTTAAAGGTCCAATGCCACACTGCTTGGATGCACGAAGAAGGGGAAAAAACAGGTAATTCCATCTGCAGGGCTATGTACTCGCACACATGGCTCCTTGAGGAAGTAGCAGCAGTGAAGGGAGGGTGTGGTTCCTAAACAGCCGGTTTTGCTTTCAGCCATCTCAAAGGCTGCCGCCTGCGTCGTTTTAATTCTTGGTTCAAAAAGTCTTGCGTGTGTTGCAGAGCAATTCACCCCCAGAACAACGGGTGGAGTAACGTGTTTTTGTCTTTGTGTGTGGAAGTCGTTGGTTTGTTAATTTATTTATCATAGACTTTATTGCCCCGTGCATCACCACTGCTGCTTTTCATCAAGGACACATTTGTCCCGTATTTTCCTCCACAACTTTGTGCACCTCTCGACCGGCAAACCGACGTTTGCGGCGATCTCCCTCTGTGAATCGGGAGGCCATCCGCGCGTCCTTTACTCGTGGCTCTTGTGTGTCCTGAGGCTGGTTGGCTAAAAAAGGACTCCAGCTTCACGGGAGATCTTAAAGTTGTGTTGGCAGTTTAACAAGTCATGATTAAGCATGTGGTGATTGACGTGTGATTGACATGTCAGCAGCAGTTTCCTTTATCTGTTGTCACATCTCTAATCTCCTCAATCGAAAAAGAGAAGAAAGCACATTGTCAAAGGTCACAATTCACAAAGTCCTTTCAAGCATGACCCATTTTAATAAATACAATCATGAAACCATAAAAACAATGACAGCAATGTTCTGAACGCACACCATCGTTGTTGATGTCATTGATTTTATGGTTGCGTAATACAAAGGCCACTTTAAATCGCTGAATCTTCTTGCGCAGCCGCACCTCTCAACACAAGTGGGGAAAGACCCTGAAGCAGACAGTTTTCCCATCAGTCCCGGTTCTCACCTCTGACCTTTGAACTCTACTGCTGATGTCTTTAGAGCAAAGGAGCACATTGAATCTCCGACAAATATCTCGAAGAAGGGAAGAGAATACCACCTTTTCATAAAATAATGTCAAAATAATGTGAACATGCAATGATGACAAATATTTTACTTACTGAAAATCTTTAATGCCAAAATGAAGATGATCTTTTAAACTAAAGAGGTGGGCAGGTCACAGATTATGGCGTTTCACTTTTAACATAAAAAAAGTAGATTAAGCGGCGTACGAGTAATTATGCTTAAAGTTAAAGGAAGAAAAAGATTTGTCAGTTTAATACAAGGCCACAGCCTGCAGCCTGCTCAAGGTACTCTTGAAAGGCTCACTCAGCAGAAATCTTGCCGTTGTTGGAGCGGTTTCTCTTTTCAGTTTCTTTTTTGTTTTTTCAGGAAGAAGTATTTTATTGTATTGCCGTTGACTTTTCTGCATGTATCTATTCATTGTTTTGTCTATAATAAATGCACAGCATACTTTCAAATAGTGATGAAAATGTTTAGCATATTTACAAGAAAAAAATAATTCCGTTGGAATATCAGTGGATTATGAAAATAGTTTATGATTTCTTGTTATTTAACTTCGCTAATTCGCTCCAAATGTTCTCCTCTATTTCTTTGGGATCGATCCAAAGCTAGATTCTATTCTTAGAAATGACTTTTTTTGTAATAATTTAAATGAGAAATCCCTCTCACTATAGTACAATTGACTGTCAGTTTATTTCTGTATGATTTGTATTGAGCATTACATAACTGAGATATGGAGGGTGAAACATCTCTTAAATGCCTCAGTGAGGATGCTTGGGAAGGGAAAGGGTAAACGCTGTTTCACTTCCTCCTGTCACAACTACTTACATCAATGTAAGGTGACAGCTGGCATGTCACGGTTCTTTCTGCGTGCAAGATACCGGCCTGAACTGCATGAAACAACTACGGCCATGCTGACAAAAATTGCTCGTATTTTTACAAGCAGTGCACGATTCATCGGCCAGAGCAGAGAGAAATGATGATGACTGCGGCTGAAAGTGACATTGGTCGTCACATGAAAACGCCACGGGTCGATGAAGAAGAGGAGTTTTTATCTCATCTCTCAACCGAGCATAAATCTGTCTTCCATAAGAAAAATCTCATATCAGTGACTATAAACCAGCAGAGAATTAAAATCATTCACATGGGGGTTTATGTCCCTGCAGTTAAAATCACACGCGCAGTATTCTCCTTCTCCACCAGGTGGCCTCAGCACGCCGCTGCCCACGCGTCTTTGGCCTTTGTCCTGAGTCTGTTTTATAACACGTATCTCGATTTAAATTCAACCATAACCCGCTGTGCAGATTTCACTGGGGCAAATTGAGAGGAATCCCTGCGCATTCAAAAAAAAAGAAAAGACATGTGTGTCCTGCTCTCCGGTGCTGGACATTAATGCCACTTTAGCTGTATCTGGTTGCCGAAGGGCCACATGCTCTCATCACTACATCACTTTCTCTTGAATGGGGCAACGTCCGCGCGCCGCGTCCGGTCTGAGCGCGCGCGGTCTCCAGGATTTGGTCAGACACGGCGGAGGCGGCACGAGGACGCAGCGGGAGCGTCGGTATTGACGTTTGAATACTGGTGTCGTCTAATTGTCAGCAATGTGGAACCAATCGAGGACATACTGGGGCTGTTCTCTAGTTTGCTTTGTCGGACATGGAGATTGGGTGCCGTTTGGATTGACTTTACGCTGCGAAGTTCTTATTGAAGCAATGGGACGTTTATGAAGTCCAGCGAATGTATGACGAGGTGAGTAGTCTTAAAATGACGGAGGGGAAATATGTTTTCGTGTGTAGTCCGTGGACAAGTATTTGAGACTTTTTATTTAGACCTCAGTTAATAACAACATTTCTCTAATGGGAAAATTCCATATTTTTTTGAAATCGATACAACAGGATGCCGATGCACAATCGCCATGTGGCGTGTGCTGCAATCAGAACTTACATTAACAAGAAACTAAAATTAGTATAGTATTTTTACACACAGTGTTGCATTTAACAATACAACACAATTGTATTTAGATGAGATAATAACAATAATCTGAATCAATGCAGATGTATCCTATGCTGGATAATTAATGCCTTTAATCCACAGGACCGCTGATGACGTCAGTAGGCAGACATAGGATGCCTAACATTACAGCATTTGTGAACAAACTGGGCAGACAGAAGAGCTCAGGTCATTACACCGAGGAATGGAGTGACCACTTCCTCTGCGGCTCAAACGATGTTTAATCTAATTCAAAAAGCCGGGGGGGAAATGTCCTGCCCAGAGAGGGTTTCCCTCAAACACCTCACCCCTCAGTATTCACCAGAAGATGTACTCATGGAGATTGTTGGCAAGGCTGAAGCACAAGAGCCTCGTAGATTTCATCCACCTGGATTTAATGTCGCACGGCTTTTCAGCATGACTTAAATCAACTTGCCGCACATGTTCAGGGATGGATATCATAAACCTTACAACTGTCACCGACACTGGGTTTTTGGACGAGGCTCCGTCGAGCCGCGTCCTGACCGGCTGTTTCCTCTCGCTGCTCATCCTCACCACCTTGCTGGGAAACACGCTGGTTTGTGCCGCCGTCACCAAGTTTCGGCACCTGCGCTCCAAAGTGACAAACTTTTTTGTGATCTCGCTGGCCGTGTCAGACCTCTTGGTTGCCATCTTGGTGATGCCGTGGAAGGCGGCGACGGAAATCGCCGGGTTCTGGCCGTTCGGCTCCTTCTGTGACACCTGGGTGGCTTTTGACATTATGTGCTCCACGGCGTCCATTTTGAACCTTTGTGTGATAAGCTTGGACCGCTACTGGGCCATCTCCAGCCCCTTTCGCTACGAGAGGAAGATGACACCTAAAGTGGCCTACGTGATGATCAGCGTGGCGTGGACGCTGTCCGTGCTAATTTCCTTCATCCCGGTGCAGCTCAACTGGCACAAGGCTCAGACCAAAACGCCTCCCACCGGGTCCTCCGGCTCTTCAAGTTTCAATGCTACATCTTATCGCAGCCCAGAGAACTGTGACTCCAGCCTGAACAGGACCTACGCCATCTCCACCTCTCTCATAAGCTTTTACATCCCCGTGGCCATCATGGTGGCCACCTACACGCAGATATACCGCATTGCCCACCGACAAATCAGACGGATCTCGGCCCTGGAGCGAGCGGCCGAAAGTGCCAAGAACCGCCACGACAGCATGGGCGGGAGCTCCAGCATCGCAGAGTCCGAGAGCTCTTTCAAAATGACGTTCAAGAGGGAGACCAAGGTGCTGAAGACGCTGTCCGTGATCATGGGGGTGTTTGTGTGCTGCTGGCTCCCATTCTTCGTCCTAAACTGCATGGTGCCCTTCTGCGAGCGCTCGAGCGGAGGGGCGGCCTTCCCCTGCGTCAGCCCCACCACGTTTGACGTGTTTGTGTGGTTCGGCTGGGCTAATTCCTCCCTCAACCCCATCATCTATGCCTTCAACGCAGATTTCCGCAAGGCCTTCTCCATCCTGCTGGGCTGCCACAAACTGTATCCGGGAGGCCACAACATCGAGGTAGTCAGTCTAAACAAGAAGTGACTAATGACTCATCCTCAATGCCGAAGTCCCAGCGTTCCTGCAGAGGCCAGTGGGACCGACTTCAAGCGGGAACGCTGCCCTCCGTGCGGACGAATGGATACGGTGACCCCCCCCTCCCCCCAACGTGTATCCCCACCCACCCCCACGAGTGGCCGTGCCGCGCGGGGAGCATCGGAGCGTGCTGGCCACGCACGCCGCGGCCGCAGCACTGCCTTCATGCAGAAGACGCTCCCGAAAGAGGAGAAGGGATTTAGGGATTGAGATTAAGACGGTGCGCCGCGGTGCCAGGGAGCGCGGCGGTGCTGACACGCCCCTGGGACAGATAATCCCATGAATGGGCAGCACGCACCCTAATGCTGTCAGACAGCGCTCTCTTCAATACCATCACACACACGGAGACCAACACAAACACTGTCAAAACACGCTCCTCCAAATTCTGTGTAAATGCAGCACCCAGCGTGCACTCTGCAGAAACCTACATGACAGCACAAAGAAATGACGTCACGCGTTATGTTTACATCTCCAGCAGCCTCTTTCGTAGATGAGCATAGGTAAAGTACTCCCACACGTGACTTCACGTTAAAGAAAGAATGACGGCCGATTTGATCTTACATCTGGTTCGTGTTGTGATTTTAAAGAAACGTTCTGAAAGGTTGACACTGAGGAGGACAAACTGAACTGAATTTCTTTTGGAAGTGAATGTACACAGAGGTGAAAGATGCAGCTTGTTGAACAGCAGGTCATTGCTGAAAGTGGTTTATAATTGATATCTCATCCCAATGTCAAACCATTATAACTTTAAACCAAATGGGCGCGACAGAAACCTCATAAGTTATGCGTTTCACTGCTTGACAGTGTGTCTCACATTACAAGTTTTGCTTGACTCATGGTGTCTTTGACTTTTGTGCTCATTTTAGGAACTGATGAAGAATTGTCATTGACTGAACTATGATGAATCCGTTTGAATTAGTTTGTTGAGTTAAATTATTAAAGGATAACCTCTGTTTTTAAAAAACACATTTTTGTGGTTTAGTCTGTCGTTCCTATGTCAGCTGTGATAACACTGTACTCCCTAAAGTAGAACCGACTTCTGGGAGCACTGATATCCTCATGAAACAGGAGCAGCCAGACGGTCAGAGCAGTTAGAAGTCCGCCCACGTAGGCCAGATTGTTGAAGACACACGACAAAACCAAGACATCTAAAGTCAGCATACGTAAAATGTTTTGTCAGTGTATCAGGTGTTGTCAGGAAACAACAGCAAAACGTATTTCGGCCACCTAAAAGAAAGCTCCACCCTAAGAAATGGTTCCCAAGCTGGAAATCATGACCCACAGAGCGGGGGTGCGGTGGGCCGGCAGTGGGGTTTACGGCTTCACCCTAAGAATAAAATTACAAATTTGCGCAGACAAGAGAGAGAGAGAAAGACAACAAAACGAGCAGGAGGACAAAAACCTGCTGTAAAATGTGGAAATATGCGTTTTTGCACTGTTTCCAGCTTCAATTTTAATATTTAATATTTGAAATAAATTTACTTGAAAATACAGTGGGATGGGTTGCCAGGCCCCAAAGGCCTTATTTTGATATATTTTTTCCACGAATATGTATCTAAATATTCTCAATAGTCTATGCTCTTCATTTCATTGCTTTCATTTAAAATAAAGCTAATTATTAAATAATTATAGTTAAGTATACGTATACCAGGTTAGTGGATTCACCAGTATTCAAGTCAATGTGGTGGTGGAACAGGATGCATTGCCACGATCGATCATTGCTTCATCTGTTAGCTACAGTAAGCATTCGTCACACAATAATTTGCAGGTTTGCGCAAGGCTCAAACAATATTTTTAAAACATGCAGTTGTCAAGCAAAGACATGTTGTTTTGTTACAGTGGTTGTGGAATGAACCATGACAGGAAACCTTGGTGAATTGTCTGTTTCAGTGGAAACATCTCAAAGCGTCTCGCAGCGTAATAAAAGTCCATGTGTCCAGATGTGTGAAATAGACTGCGTGGTGTTTGTGTGGTGGGCTGTACAGCTTTGACCTCCACGGATCAAACCCCCCGAAGCACATCTCACACCAGAATCTAAAGGGTGAAACTCACCAGAATCAGCTGTGTCTCACATCCCAAATTACCCCCCCGACATCACTCTGGCGTTCACGTGTCTGGTGCGTCTGGCCTTGTACCGCCATCGATAGTAAACCAGTTTGGCGTCATGAATAGCCAGGAACTTTGGCACCTTATTTCCCATTTGGGCTTTGTTCAATTAATGCATCGCATTTACGTTGCTTTTAACCTTCAAACAGTTGGCTGAAGTGTTGCAAACATTAACACCTTTCATGCATTTGTGTCACAGCTGATACAAGATAGTTGATCGTAAACTGACACCCTAATTAGATGATTTAATGGGAGCGAGATGGAGGTGGTTGAAATGGGAAGAGGAGGGCAGAGCAGCAACAACACGGGATTATTTGCAAGGTCCGTTAAAATAATCCCCATCACGATGTGCCAGACACTTCTAATAAATGATCAGTTAAATGAAAATCTAAGACCTGATCAATCGCTCAGCAGATGTGCTCTGTCTTCAATAACCATAAAACTCTTAATCAGATGCATTTCCGCGGAAAACAGTTGCTACGGCTTGGCACATAAACACTTTAAAGTGATTACACAGTCGTGAAGCACTCTCATTAAACGGCAAGTCTCAAAAGATTTAGAGGACCGATTTGTTTAATCAAATTGAGTCTTTGCTCATTAGAAATCTGATAAAGTGCAAAATACTGTGGGGATTACTGTGTCTCTGTCTCGCACAAATACGAGTTGTCCTTTGAAGCTCACTTTCTCTGGGACTGTCCTTGCCTCTGCAAAACCTCCTCAAGCATGCCACGGGAAGGAAGCAGCAATTAATTGGACTGACATCATTCGGAGTGATGGCTGAGGTGGCGACAGGGTCTGTGGTTGCGTGTGTGTGTGTGTGTGTGTGTTTGTTTGCGTGGCTCAGCGCTACCATCACCTGCACCGGCGCCCGGCCCAGAGTCCCTGCAATGTCAACCGCACTCTGCGAAAAAACACACAATTTGTTTGCTTCAGCATTCATTTGGCTGCGCCGGAGCCCGCGAGAGTCTAAAAAAGCGATGGTGTCTTTTCAGATTGGCACATCGGAGGAGATGTGCACGTGACAACCTCAGATGATGCTAATGACTGGCCCTGTGGGAATGATTTACTGAGACAGGGAGAGAGAAAGAAAGGGCCAAAGCAACTGACAGACTCTTACGTAAGCAATGGCTACTCAAACAGGAAAGTCAAAGGATGCTCGGTAAATATCACAATACCCACAAGTATCTCCAAAGTCAGACTGCTGTTGCATCCACAATGAAGGATCCTCTGCGGGCGCATGGCGTCGGCTCACGGGCCACAACGGGTCACGTGAGAGTGGATTCTTAATGTCGATGATTAATTCCTTCCCACCCTCTGTCTTCGGTCGAGATCTCGCGAAATTAAAATGCAAATAGACAGTTTGAAATAATCTGTATTACTCTGCATTAAATATGCATTATTCATAACTGGCAGAGCTATTGTAATTGCGACAGAGCTTTATGCATTTTTAATACCTCAGATGACACCGGGATAAGCATAATTGAGATTGAGCTTGTTGCTGACACTTTCCACTTTGCAGGTTGAAGAAATACTCGGTTTGTCCGTGTCTGCTCAGGTAAACAGACGCTCCATAATTCTTTTTAACTGAAAGTGAAGGAGCAGATGAACAAGTTTACGTGAGGCCCCTTCTGCAACATGCACTTTCTCATCGTAAGGAAATCTCATCGCCTTGTCTGTCACTTGCTAATCCGCGGAATACTAATACAAAATGAAAAGCATTTCATGTAGAGCTATTAAAATAAATATGAGATAGCCCTGCACAGCGAGCCCCTCCGTTCCTCTTCCTGGTTTCCTCCCACTTGTCATTTCTCTTTCTTATCACAGCCCCCCGGCTGTCTTCGCCTCCTCCCTCCCTCTGTTTACCGTTGGTGCTGCGGCCCGCTGGCAGTGCCGTGTTGCCATTCGTCACTCCGACCGGCCCCAGTGGAGAGGACAGGGGCCCTTGACCCCACCACTGGGGAAGGAGGCAGGGAACGAGGGGAGAGGGAGAATCACACGGGGCTCGTCAGAGAGAGAGCGCAGAGAAAGATTTATTAAAGAGGACAGACACAGAGGGCACAACAAACGAGGAACGCCTGACTTAAGCACTTTTTCCACAAGTGAATATATACATTTTAATATGCAGATGCTTTGTAGATTAAAGGAAGAGCGAACCTCCCCTGCAAGCGTGTTTTCATGACATGACGGAGAGCTCTGCAAACGCCTGTAGGGGGCAACGTGTTAAGTGATGATTGTGATCAGATCACATCACACACATCATTTTTATCGGATTAAATCGATGAACCTTCTGGTTCTGTATGAATGCATCTGCATCCATCATGTTGCGTCACTTAACTTAATCAAGGTTTTCTTTAATTTGTCAACCATCTGCGAGGGGCAGGAAGTGAGCGAGGGCAAGAAACAATGCTGCAACAGGCTTCCTTATGAGAAGAACAAGGGGACCGTTCCCAAAACAAACCACATAAAATCACTCATCCAACTACATTGCTCATCTGTTTTTTTTTTAAATGTATTCATGGGTCGGCCTTTTTTATGACAGCTGGGTAGGCAGCATCCCTCAAGCACTAAATCCGTACTAAACCATGTCAGGGGAATGTGGTGCACTCATACATTGAATAATAAACCAGGTGAAAACGCGGCTGGCTGATGAATAGCTTTTTTCAACTAGACCGATGTCCACTCCATCCACACTCGGAAGATTAGCTGGAGAGCGGTTCTGTCTGGCGGTGGCGGCTCTGAGTGGAGATCGTGCTATTAATGATGCCGAGGCCAATGCTCATGCTGGTGCGATGCCCCGTGGGTGAATTGTGACGATGCGAATGCTAATCAGCCAGCTTGTGGCGTAGAGCAGATGTGTCTAATCTCTTTAAGGGCACAACATCAGCAGCAGGACGAGACGGAACAACCGAGATTACTGACAACTGAAGGCACGAAAACAGTGAGATACTGTCTACTCCACCTGACCTTAAGATCCAGAAGGGGAAGGTCTGTCTGGCCCGAGTGTGGTAGTAAACAGTGCTGACCGTGACGGGATTAGAGCCGAAGCAGTACGAGGTGTAAGAAGGTTAATGCTTGTTGGATGTTATAGTGGGTTTCCACACCTTCTAAAATAGTCAGAGGAGAATTGCATACGAAGCAGACGACACTGGATGCTCCACAGGCAAAAGGCTACTTAGGATAGTGTGTGTAATGTATTACTCTTGTACAGTTTCAGTTCCACTGGAATGCCCACATGAGGTGGTTTAATATGTGGCTATGTGACTGTAAAGTCAAAATGTGTGTTGCATATTAAATAAACACTAAAAGTATACAAACATAAGGCGAGATTTGGGCAATTTTTTTTCATAGGTTGTATGACACGTGGTATATAAATTATATACAAAAACCCTTCTAGAATGATGGTTACGTCCATGAGAACATCATAGCCAGGCCCGTTTTTTTCCCTCTCTGTGCATCTGAAAGGGGGATTAACTGAGCGGGAGGGTAGTACAGAAGACCACTCAGAGGCAGACATCCCACTCGAGTGATGGCGCGTTGACAAGCTGCACAAACATCCCCAGCAGAGAGACGGAGGGAGTAGGAGGGAGGAGAGGGCAGGGAGATAGGAAGACCACTTGAGAGTTCAGGAGGACACACAGAGCTTAAAGCAGCTACAGTCCAATCTTTCCTCGAAGGAGACACATCTCAGAAAGACGCACAAACTGGTGCTGTTGATAATCTGTGTGAATGAGGGCCGTGTGCAGTATTTAGCCGTTTGTAAGGGCTTACGGTGGTTCATACCATTAATAAGAACTCAGATGCCATGTTGGAAGAGTCCAACCTTACAATGATGTCCAGCAACTACGAGACAGCTTCAATAGATGTATAGAGCAACAGAGAATTCTGTTTTCTTTAGCTCGAAAATGTCTACGGCTTCATGACTCATGAGAGTCTAAATTGATTCCACGGTCATTGTGTAGCATTTGGTTTGGGATTTGATATACTTTCATTTGGCAAAAACCTACATGAGTGAAATAAATAGAGCTCCGGTAGAAACTTGCTGGGTGGATTTATTGAGTATTTCTGGCAGTTTAACAGTTGAAAACTGCTGTGAGGCAAATATCCTGCTGTGCTTCATAGGAGTTAATGGGTTAAGGGAAGCAACACTACCCCAGATTGCATCCTGGTCTGCTATGTGGGGAATTTTGAAATTAAACATTTGTACAGTAGGAGATAATGAAGAGCCTCCCTTTGGAG